GCAAGAAAATCCGCCAATAAGCGCAGGACCCACCAAGATAGAGGAGGAACTTTGTCACGATGTATAATAATGCCTGCATCTGTAATTTTCACTCCATGCATCTGAAGATGTGGGTTTTTTACCCAGGAAAGCTTATGACCAAAGAAATCTGTTAGTCTTTAAGGTGCCACTGGACTCCCTGTTGTTTTTGTGGATACAGACTAACATGGCTACCCTCTGATATAAAATGATGTGGTCTAAATTAGCTATTACCACTCAAGAAATCTTGGAGTCATTGTGGATAGTTCTCTCAAAAACACCCACTCACTGTGCAGCAGCAGTCAAAAAAGCTAACTATGTTAAGAATCATTAAGAAAGGGTTAGATAATAAGACAGAAAATATCATATTGCCTCTATATAAATCCATGGTACGTATGCCCACATTTTGAATCTTGCGTGCAGATGTGGTTGCCCCTCTCTAAAAGATATATTGGAATTGGAAAAGGTCAGAAAAGGGCAACAAAAATGATTAAGGGTATGAAACAGCTTCTGTATGAGGAGAGATTAATAAGATTGGGACTTTTCAGCTTGGAAAAGAGATGACTTAGGGGAAATATGATAGAGGTCTATAAAATCATGATTGGTGTGGAGAAAGTAAATAAGGAAGTATTATTTACTCCTCATAACACAAAAACAAGGAGTCACCAAATGAAATTAATAGGCAGCAGGTTTAAAACAAACAAAAGGAAGTATTTCTTCACACAACGCACAGTCAACCTGTGGAACTCTTTGCCAGAGGATGTTGTGAAGGTCAAGACTAACAGAGTTCAAAAAAGAACTAGATAAGTTCATGGAGGATAGGTCCATCAGTAGCTATTAGGCAGGATGGGCAGGGATGGTGTCCCTAGCCTCTGTTTTCTGGAAGCTGGGAATGGATGACGGGATGGATCACTTGATGATTACCTGTTCTGTTCATTCCCTCTGGCTTTTGTGGAATTGGCCACTATCGGAAGACAGGATACTGGGCTCGATGGACCTTAGGTCTGACCTAGTATGGCCGTTCTTATGTTCTTGAGACAGGTTAATCATGTAGCAACCTTGTTAAATCTCAGGGCACTTCTGGATACTCAGGTAGAAGTTGTGTGGCCAAAGGCGCTTTTTTCCCCCCACCCATGTCTGGCAAGAAAAGTGTGGTCCTTGCCACACAGTGATTCTTGCCATCATCACCTTGGGCTCTACAAAATGTGACAATAGGAGATCACCCTGAATCCGGAGCTGTTATAAAGTGTTTAAGTATTTAGATTATTAAGTATTTTCATGACAAGAGCATGTAACACGGGTGCTCTGATTGATCAACAGAAGTGGAGCACCCTACAGATTTCCATAGAAAGAGGCTACTGACAGGGAGGGAAAGATCCCTCGGCTCTGGAACTGACTTTTCCCATTTCCCATATGAATTTAGATCTGTTAATCTTCAGGACCTGCCTGCAACATCTACCTCTTTTCTTGGGAATGGTTTGAGAGACATAGGGTGATGTCCTGGCCTCTCTGAAGTCAGTTTTGCCATTGATGTCACTGGAGCTAGGACTTCACTCCAGAACTTTTGTTTGTTTAAACAAAAATGTTTTTGTCTGGGAAGTCATGGCTGGGTTGAACATAAAACATTTCATAATGACTTTTAATAACGGTTGTAACAACTGATCATTTCACAATATGCAGTTATTAAAACTGTTTCACAGTATGAAAGGATCTCAGAAATTAGGAAATTGTAGCTGCAATCAACCTGAAAACTTTCACATGAACACTTTGGTGATTTTGTTGCAGGCCATTTAGTGATGCAAACATTTCATTTTTGGGGATGGTTTTGTCAAACTAGCAAAGTTGCCTTTGAAAATATGGAAAATCAGAAATGTTCACATTTTACTCTAAGGTCCAGAAATTCAGCTGTACTTTCAAGTGGAAAATGGTGACCGTATGAAATATTTTAAAAAGGCAGAATAAAATGTGAAAATAATATTGATTGAGGTTTTTAAATTTTATTTCACTTTTTTTATACATCTTTACTTGGAAATACATACATTTTTTGATATAAGAACTCTAATTCTCTTGAAACAGCTTGAGACAACACTTTATAAGGTTATAGACCAAAACGTGGCCCTGGGTTCTTGATGATATTCCGCCCCAGGCCATGAGGACCCCTGTGAGCAGAGGGAGTCCTCTGCTGACAAGACTGGAGCCTAGGACAGTACTGAAAGCTTAGCTAAAACTCTGCTGAAAAGATATATTCAGGGATAGTGAATATATTCTCACTGAGTGCATCCATCCTGAGAAAATCCATAAATGTTTTCTGCACATCAGCAGCTCCACCAGCGATAATGTTGTCAAATGCTGTAGCATAGACAAGGTGTAGGTGTCCTTACCATAGTGTTATCTAATATTTTATTACCATCAGGTTCTGTTTCTCATCAACAGCCAAGAAGGCTTGTTTCTTCCAGTAGGGATAACAAAAGAGCATTGCCTAGCTTCTAGGGGTTAGAGAGCATAGGACTGGAAGCCACAAATCCTATTTCCGGATCTACCACTGACCTGCCATGATCTTGAGTAAATCACTGTCTCTCTCTATGCCTCTTTCCTACCACCTATAAAGATACTGTTGATCCCCACCCAGGGGTGCAGAGAAGATTAATGGTTATTTATGATATATAGAGTCAGAGGCATGCATGATGTTTAAAAAGCAAATATAAAGATGAGGGCCCTAGATTCTCAGAGAAGGGGTTGCAGATCTTGAGAGGCCACTTCTATGTCAGCCCCACCAGAGATCAGAGCAGAGTGGAGGCCTCTCTTCTCTACACTGGCTGGCTATGACCCTCCAAGGGACCACCTACCAGCCAGGGATTGCTGGAGTGCAGCATCACACCCGCTTCCCAGCCCCAACACCAGCAGCTACTGGACGGTGGTGTAGACAGGGCTTTTGTGTGTACTGGGGACTCCCCCTTCAAGGGGAATGTCTAGGGAGAGACATCTGATAGCTTTCAGCAGTGAGAGGGTTACAAAGAGAGCAAATCTGGGCTCAGGATTAAGCCCAAGGTCCCTGCCCTCAAGAGATTTAATCTAAAATTAGGTCAGGACCAGGACAAAAAGAGAACAGACCATTGTGGGTGACTAGGGGAAGAAGACAGTGGTAAAGAAATGGAGGGAATGCGTTTGGGTGCACAGATTCCCATGAAAGGGGCATGTCAAACTTGCATGCTTTGTGGATTTGATATTTGTTACTTTCTCTTTTTAAGGGTGGGTCTACATTGCAGCTGGGTCGGTGCAGGTAAACAGACACATGCTAGCTCTGCTCCAGCCTGCGTGCTAAAAATAGCAGTATGGCTATTGCGGCTCGGGCTAGCCACCTGAGAACAATCCCACCTGACCTCTGCGTCCATATGCGGTTGGCCAGCCTGAGCTGCCGCCCACGCTGCTGCTTGAGCACACAAGGTCAAGCAGAGCAAGCACGTGTCTACCCACCTGCTCTGGGAAGCGCCCTCCCAGCTGCTGTGCCGTTGTATCCTTAATGTACATTTATATGAATGAAATATCTGCCAATGAAATCTCTTAATTCACGTTGGCAAAACACCAAGATCCTTGGAGGAAAGGCACTTCAGAAGGACTAAATATGACCACTCCAAGAGTTTAAAAAAAATGTAGTTCTGCATAGTGACTGCTCAAAGGTGTAAAGCTCCCAGACTTGGCAATCCTTTGTTCATGTGTACTCTGTGCGTCCAGGACCTAGGAAAGATCACAGCCAAAGAGTTCTACCCGAAGAGCAATGCTTCGATTCCAGGTTTTAGGAACAATGCGGATGAACCTGGAAAATATGGGTGGATTTAAGAAATGCTTGACCTGTCCGCTGCTGTTCTCATTCCCCACAAATACCTGAAAGTAAACAAAACAATGAATTAGTGAAAAAAAATTACCTTAAAAATGCTGCTGCTTTTTTTCCCATCTAAATGCTTCAGAGTTGCTGCGTTAGGGAACAGGGAAGTTGACTGGATCACTCCAGTGGTGTATATACAGCCTTCCTCCTCTAGGTCACTGGTTCAAATCCAGTCAGAGCCAAACTGTGGTCTGGGTGAAATGATTTCATGGTCTCTGTTTCTGTCTACATCACAGAAACCATCACCACAACTGATGCTAACTGGCCCCTGTGTTGGCTGGGGACTGACAAATCCCCCCTCTCTTATCCCTAGATGTGGTCCCTGCAGGTCGGGATTGAAGCACATCCGTCAAGGTGGCTTGGGGGGATTCTCTAAGTGCTGTACCTGCTGTGTGGATGAGGGAGGTGTCAGCTCTGTCAATCTGGGACCTTCCACCAGCCCTAAATTCACTTAAAAAAATTAAAGCAAAATATTTTGCAGTGAAGTTTGGCAGAGGCTTCCGCGTACACATTCTGTGCATTCCTTTGAAATGTTCCTCTGTAAAAGGCATGCCACTGATTTCATCCCAGGTTCAACGGTATTCCACACAAATGTAGCATCCCCTCCCTTTTATTGTTGAAAATTACTTACATCAGAAATAAAGAGCCATGAAAGGAAGTTCTAGAGTCCTTTATAAGAGAAGAACCACTCCACCAGCATTTTAAATTCAACTGCAGGAACAATTTTTTGTGCCCCTCATTCTGGGGCTGTCCCTCATTTGGGCCTGGAGAAGTATGACAAAGTGCTCGGGATTCAGAAATGGACAGAGTTCTCCAAGTTTAAAATGGTACCTTTCCCACTGAAGTGGAGTCATCCATATAAGGTTTCCATTCTGTGCCTTCATTGCTGTAAAGGATGGCGTAGGTTTTCACAAACTGCTCCGTAGACATGGACTTGCAACCCTGGGTTGTGATAGCGGTTATCTTCTTCGCTTTGAGGAGATCAATCTGCAGCCACTGCTGGTTGTTGTTTGACTACAAACAATACAAAGAGTAATGCGTGAGCAAATGCGTGTTTGTGCCAATATTAGCACAACCAGAAACTTTGCTCAATGATAGTTAAAGTTGTATGAAGACATCCACCCACCCAGAACCTCAAACCTATGCAAACAAAGCTAAGGGAAGCGCTACCAGCATTCTCTGCTGGCTACACATCAGTTTAATCATTGCAGATGATACACGCTGACCCTCCATCCAGCATTCACTTCCATCACCAAGGCAGAATGAAAAGCAATACAAATTCATCCCTGGTGAATTAATGTAGCTCTCATAAAGCGCTTCTCAGCAATAGATCTCAAAGCGCTTTACAAAGTATCATCATCATCCCCATTTTACAGATAGGGAAACTGAGACATGGGGGAAACTGACTTTCTCAAGGGCACCCAGCAAGCCAGTGACAGAGCTGGTTATAGAACCCAGGCCTCCTGAGTCTCACTCCAATGTGCTAGTCCAGTAGTTCTCAAACTTTTGTACTGGTGACCCCTGTCACACATCAAGCCTCTGAGTGTAAAACCCTTTATAAATTAAAAACACTTTTTAATATATTTAACACCATTATAAATGCTGGATGCAAAGCAGGGTTCGGGGTGGAGGCTGACAGGTGTAATAACCTCACGACCCCCTGAGGGGTCCCGACCCCCAGTTTGAGAACCCCTGCTCTAGTCACTAGGCAGTACTTCTGATCAACAGTAAAGCCAACAGAATTACACCAGATGAATTTGGCTCACAGGCCACCTACCTTCAGTGTTTACTCATCCACTGAGTCCAAAGAGACCACTCCCATGAGTAACAGCTGCAGGGTCAGGCCCATCAAGTTGAGCATGCTGGACCTGCTGCCAGTCTCCACATAGTTTCATTGCTTTCCACTTCACATTATGAAATTAGCAAATGTTCTTTTTTTAAAAGAAAAAAAAACCTCTTTGCGAGCATGTCACAAACCTCCCCCTGGAAGGGAACTAAGCAGGCTTTTCACTGGAGGACTGGATAGAACAAGCCAGAGCACAGCACGGAGGGGGCACACGGAGCAGGCACAGACACAGGGCCTGCTCCAGGCACCAGTTTAACAAGCAGGTGCTTGGGGCGGCCAAGGGAGAGGGGCGGCACTTGCGGCAATTCAGGGTGGCAGGTCCCTCACTCCCTCTAGGAGCGAAGGACCTGTTGCTGAACTGCCGCCGCCGATCGTGGCTTTTTTTTTTTTAACTTGGGGCGGCAGAAATGCTGGAGCCGGCCCTGCACAGACACACACCGGAGCAGCAGCCCATTTGCTAACGGCAGCAGCTTTGACTTAGCTGTTTTTTCTTTTGTTTGCTTCTTACCTTCGCTTGCCAGGCATTTAACCTCCCTTGCTGATTGAGACGCGCGAGGGAAGGCTCCCATGAGTTATACCAGGATTTCTTATAAGAAGAAGCTGTAATCTGAGCATTCTTGATCTCCCCATTTTCCATTCCCAGTGGCAGAGAGCAACCTGTTAAGAGAATAGCAGCAGGTCTCCATTTCATCTATTGAGCAGCAGTGGACTAGAGGAATAAGCAACAGGCTAGGAATTCCTGTCTCTGCCACTGACTTGCTGTATGGCCTTGCTCAAGTCATTGTAACCTCCCTTGTGCCTCAGTTTCCCCATCTTTAAAAAGGAGGTAATGCAGGGTTGTTATGAGCATTCATTAGTTAAAACGTGTAAAGCACTTTGAAGTTGTGAAGCGCTATCTACATTCTAACTGCTCAGGGAGTGGCAGAAGAGAATACATTTGCAGTCAGGGAGTGGAGCTCTCTTTGCCCAGTCATCATGAAAACTAAGTCCAGCAGATCTGTGAAATAAAAGGTTTGTGCGTCTGCCTATTATGGGCGAGACTGTCAAAAGCACCCAGAGTTAGACCAATTCTGAGTGCTTTAGAAAGTCCCACTCTGTATTCTTATATTGCCATTCAAATAAACTAACAAGGGGCTTGTTGTCCAGGGAACTGGGGAAAGGGGATCCACAGCCTCTCATTTCTAGGTTGCAGGTTTGAATCCAGCCCAGGGCAGGCGTAACTGCAAGTCACCCATGCGATGACTGTGCAATGGCTTGTGTGAAATGAGATTTACGGACTCAGTCCTGTTCCTGTTGGCCGTGAGCTCACATCACCACTTCAGGTGGTGCTGACTGTCAGCATGCTAATGGCCACTTTGTTGTTGTTCTCAGAGAGGCCTATGACTGAATGAGACATGAAGACTAAACTCTGCTTCCACGCCCGGAGGAAGTTTCCCCAGGTCTGTGTTAAGGCACATACAGAAGGCAGTGTGCAGGAAGCTGGCACTGCCACTGACCATGCCTTGCCTGTTCTGTGGATAAACAGAGAAAAGCCAGAGCTGTCAATCCAAATACAAACACCAGTGCTAATAGTGGGCTTTTCAAAATCACTGAACGGGAAAAAACACTAACTTCCAATGGCTTTGAATGGGAGTTGGGTACCTAGATGACTTTTAAAAAAAAAAAAAAAAAAAATCGCACCCTAAATTCATTAAGGCCAAGGATTTCAGAAGCATCTTGTGATTTTTGGATGCCCAACTTGAGAAACCCCAATTTTCAGAGGGTGGGCAGAACTGTGTCTGAAAATCAGGCCCCTTTGAGGTGTCTCATGTTGAAAATAATAATGGGGGATTTCCATTATCCCCATATTGACTGGGTACATGTCACCTCAGGATGGGATGCAGAGATAACATTTCTTGAGACCTTAAATGACTGCTTCTTGGAGTAGCTGATCCTGGAACCCACCAGAGTAGAGGCAATTCTTGATTTAGTCCTAGGTGGAGCACAGGATCTGGTCCAAGAGGTGAATATAGCTGGACCGCTTGGTAATAGTGACTATAATATAAGTAAATTTATCATCCCTGTGGCAGGAAAAACACCACAGCGACCGAACACTGTAGTATTTAAATTTCAGAAAGGGGAACTACACAAAAATGAGGAGGTTTGTTAACAAGAAATTAAAAGGTACAGCACCAAAAGTAAAATCCCTGCAAGCTTCATGGAAACTTTTTAAAGACTCCATAATAGAGGCTCAACTTAAATGTATACCTCAAATTAAAAAAACATAATAAGAGAACCAAAAAAGAGCCACCGTGGCTAAACAAAGTAAAAGAAGCAGTGAGAGGCAAAAAGGCATCCTTTAAAAAGTGGAAGTTAAATCCTAGTGAGGAAAATAGAAAGGAGCATAAATACTGTCAAATGAAGTGTAAAAATACAATTAGGAATGCCAAAAAAGAATTTGAGGAACAGTTAGCGAAAGACTCAAAAAGTAATAGCAATTTTTTTTTAATTACATCAGAAACAGGAAGCCTGCTAAACAACCAGTGGGGCCACTGGACGATCGAGGTGCTAAAGGAGCACTCAAGGATGATAAGGCCATTGCGGAGAAACTAAATTAATTATTTGCATCTCTCTTCACGGCTGAGGATGTGAGGGAGATTCCCAAACCTGACTTGTCCTTTGTAGGTGACAGATCTGAGGAACCGTCCCAGATTGAGGTATCATTAGAGGAGGTTTTGGAACAAATTGATAAATTAAACAGCAATAAGTCACCAGGACCAGATGGTATTCACCCAAGAGTTCTGAAGGAACTCAAATGTGAAATTACAGAACTACTAACTGTAGTTTGTAACCTATCATTTAAATCAGCTTCTTTACCAGATGACTGGAGGATAGTTAATGTGCTGCCAATTTTTAAAAAGGGCTCCAGAGGTGATCCTGGCAATTGGTCTGACCGAGTAGGGCCATTTTTATATTCTTAAATCTTGGCCCATAGAAAAAAAGGTTGAGCGTATTTTTCTAAGGGGTAGAGGGGAAACAAGTACCAGTGAGTTCTCATTGCTCACCTTCGACTTCGCAGCCCAGGAGTTCCATGCGAAGAGTAGGCCTGTTGTAGGAATCAATTGGATAAACCCTAATATACCTAGCAATGATAGGTGGCTCAATATGGTTGTCTTTTATCCCATGGGCATCTGAATTACCTTCAAACAACTAGTAAAACAGAAAAAAGCAATTAAGATTTCAGAAAAGAAAATGATATTAATTAAAAGCAATTACAAGCTTGGTCCTGAAAACCCTATGTCATGCGATTAAGTCTTTACTTATGCAATTTCAATGGGGCTACTCACATTATAGCAAAACCTAAAAACACATCATCCTTATCTTTGCCTTAGTATAGCACCCAGAGGCTAAACCAGGACCCAGTGTGTTAGGCGCAGTAAAGACCCTTATTAGGATATTAATAGACAGACAACTAAGACCAGTGCAGACTTAACATTCATTAACACCTATCATACAAACACCACGACACTGTGGATATGGCTACACTATTGCAGCTACAGGTGCAGCGTGCTGGGGCTGTACCACTGTAGTGCCATAGTGTTCACCCTTCCTTTGTCGCTGGAAGGGGTTTTCCATCAGTGTAGTTAATTCTCCTCTCCAAGAGGTTGATGGAAGAATTCGGCATCTACAGTGAGGCGTAGGCTGAGCTAACTACACTGCACAGGGTGTGCTATTTTTCAGAGCCCTGAGCAATGTAGCTAGGTCAGTTTAATTTTTGGGTGGAAACCAGGCCTCAGAGTTGAGCTCCAGCTGGCAGGGAAGGGGAGTTTGGGCATAGATAGGAGACCCCTGAAGGTGCTATATGGACACTTGGGTTGCACATGCGTTAGGTAGCTACTGCTAATATTAGCAGTACTATTGTGACAGGGTGCCAGGGCTGGGCCGCACTGAACCGGGGCATGAGTTCAGCCCAGCGTCCCATTCTCTTTCCACATGTGCTCAGGGGAAGGGCCGTGAGCCAGAAGTGGGGACAGAGGCCTGTGCAGAAGTGGGGCTGCACAACCAGGGTTATGGGGCTGGGTTGAAGCCCAGGCTGGGGAGATTCCTTATCTCTTATTACGATCCTGTATTCTGCTGTGTTATACACACCAGGCCAGACTAGTAAAGGGATCTAGGTGCCTCACGATGCAGATTGGCATCTAGTGCGGTTTTCAAAAACCCCTTTAGGCACTTAGGTCCTTTGGAATTAGTGGGATTTTCCAATCTGCATCTTCATGCGCCTAAATACCTTTAAAAATCAGACCTCTTATTCCTTGAGAAAAGCCCCTGGTGGCTGCCTGTGTGGTACTTTCTGCTGAGCCATCCCACCCGCTTACAGCTGCGTAAAACCGGGGAGGCTGTGGTGATTAACGAGCAGGCAGACCTTCTGTCCCCCAGTGCTGTTTCCTATGAAGGTGATCCACTTCCGTTTGTCCTTGCTGTAAGTCATAAAGAATTCTTTGACATACAAGGACTTCATCAACTGCTTGGCTCCCTGCGTTTGTATCCCTGTGATGAGAACTTGCCTTTGAAGGTCCACCTGTAGAACAGCAAGATACACAAACTGTAAGAAAAGCTGAACCATGAACCCAATTTCATCCTCTGGCAGCTAGGGAGTGGGGCCCAGGCCTGCATTTAGACACTCAGAATGGCACTTCCATTGGCACTCAGAATGGCTCTACTCAAGCTGGATAACGCGGTGTCTAAGCTGGTGCAAGAGTCCAAATGAGGAGTTGTGTCCTAACGTATTTTATTGATGTGTGTATTTACTTATAGGCATTTTTGGGGTGCCCATCACCACAGTATCTGGGCACCTGACAAACATTAATGAATCCATCCTCGCAGCGTCTCTGGGCGAAGCAGGGGAGTGTTGCTATCTCCACTGTACAGACGGGGAGAGCGAGGCACAGAATGGGTAAGGCCTACATTTCCAAAGCAGCCTCTGGTTTTGAGCGTCCACCCAGAGATAACCAGGGCTTGTTTTTTGGGGATGTTGAGCCCCCACAACTCCAGCTGAATCCACCAGAGGCCATGAGTGCTCAGTACCACTGAAAAATTAGAACCTGGTGTCTCAAACTGGGCACAGAAGCACCCTCCAAAAAAACAACCAGGCAACATTTGAAAGTTTTTGCACCAGGTCACACGGTGATTGTGTAGCAGAGCCAAAGTCTCCTGATTCCTGGGAGTGAGTGCCTTCACCAGAGGACCCTTCCTCCCCCCTTAGGCCTTCTGATGCAGACAGTGAAAAGGTCAGTGATGTTGTTTACTAGCGAAGCTGTGCAGGAAAAGAAAGATGCGGGGGGAGAGGGGGTTCTTCTGATCAGCTGAAGAAAGAACAATTATTTTAAAGGGAGTTTTCAGCCCCACTTCATCAAGCACAAACGGATTATTTCTCTCTCCAAGTTTTCTGCCTTTACAAAAGAAAAGCAATTATTTTCATGGATTTCAGGGGGATTTG